ACGAGTGTGTACTTGAAAAAAATGCCACACAATTCTTTTTCGGATGGCGCAAGCAAGTAAAGCATACACGTATATCTCTTTTGCAACAATTATTGAAAGTTTAGTTCCATCCCATGTTCAGGCTCTGACAATGGGGTGATGGATAGATGACTTGCTCCACATTTACGGATAGTGCAGTGGCAGCGGCCGGGCCACGAACAAGAGGTCGTGAGTTCGAGTTCTTGGCGAGTTCTCACTTTTGCTTTTCTTGAGAACGTTGAAGGACTCTTATCCATGCTAAGTTATCAGCGATTGCCTATAGCACAAGTGGAAAGAGCTGGCGAAGAGCTTCGAGCACTGTGCGCGTCATTTGCAAGTGACCGCCTCTGACACCCGTAGCGCACGCGTAAGGCAATTTCGTGCCAAGCAGATGCGATATTCGTGTTCAGCGCGTCGAAACACCCCTTTCAACAACATTTGGTCCAAATCTAAAATTTTGACTTGAAGTCGAAAATGTGGGCAGTCATCTATCCATCAACCCATTGTCAGAGCCTGATCATGGGATGGAACTAAACTTTCTAGAAGTAAGCCTTCAAAGATAGTTTGGTCCGTTGAGCAAGCATCTCCCATTTGTTTAGCCCATCATCGGATATACCTTCCGTGGCGTAGAAACATCCCGACGGTGGTCGGAAACATTACGGCAAAAGTGGAATGCTTGAAGCAAACTCCGCTAAACACGTGATAGCTTTGGACACCATGTGCTTCGCGCCCAGCAAGATCCCATCCATCGCCCCACCACTGCAAGCCGCCAACTACCGCTCGGCCAAGCCGCCGCCGTGAGCTGTGCTCTGCCGGTGTCTCTTACAGTGGGCTTTCATTGAAACAACCTCCGTAACTCTTTTCAGAGAATCGTTTCGCAAATTTGGAGAGTGGATTCGAGATCAGCGTCCGAAAACACATCTCTGAGTATAGGTTTCATTACGGATGGCCACTTCGACTTGGTATCCTTCCCTTGTAAGACTTAAAGGAGGATTGCACGGAAAGAACGAAGGTCGAAGAAGGGAGAAATCGCCTAGTGGGGAGAGCGGTGAATCTCTTGAGGGTGCGGACAGACACGCAATCGGCATCGAAAGATTTGACCTCTGAGATCTAGCATGGCTCAAAGTTGGCGAGTTCGGCGATCTCCGCCCACCGATCGTCTGATCACTCGCCGTAGTACAATAGGTGGCGAGTGATTAGATAGCTGAGAGAGCGTAGGGTTGAAGAGGGCAAAGCGATGAGAGTCCCATCAATGCTCAAATCAACGGACAAGGAAGGGGTCCCATTTCTCCGGTTCTGGGCCGTTTTTCGTGGTTTCGCTTTCTTTCTGGTACTACTCACCATCTCTACCTCAATTTGGAATGGGTTGCTTTTCCATCGTAAATTCGTCCTTCAAAGTGGGTTTGATACAAATCTTACTATGGGTTAGCGTGAGTGTTGAACAGCACCTCTTAGCGAACCATGACTTTTATCTGAACTAGTCGCAACATGTTGTCTAAGTTAAAAGGATCCTTCCACGAAAATTTTGCATTCTTTCCCAACACGCACATGTCAGTTGTGATCACTAGAGACAACATACAAAGTTTCACGCACAAAGATTCAGTTTCCGAAGAGAAACAAACTTACAAAAACACTCTATGGACAATCGAAGGTAAGTGGCGCGAGCCAAGGCGGGGCACGAAAAGAAGTTTGCCATGGGGCGCTTACGTATGGCCGATGTCATAGCTTGCAAATCGAGTGAATCGCTGGATTCGAGCGTTGCACCAGCGAGTCGAACGATGTACCAGCGACTCGACACTGTTTGAAAGTGGCGGGACCCAACGTTCAAAGGAAGTCCACTTCAAAGGACGACACTGTTTGAAAGTGGCGAGACTTCCTTCAAAGTTGGGTCCCGCGCTGGTAGATAGTTCGACTCGCTGGTACATAGTTCGACTCGCTGGTGCAAAGTTCGATTCGCTGGTGCAACGTTCGATTCGCTGGCGCAACGCTCGGATCCAGCGATTCGCTAGCGAATCGCTCGATTCGCAAACTATGACATCGGCCCATCAGACTGGAGAGTAGAGACCAATCGGTCGATAGAATAGGATGCAGTAGAAGCCCGAGATGTTAATGCAATAAGTCAAAAGGCAGAAAGAGTTTCTAGTGACGGCACTCCAAGAACCAAGTGGAAGCATCCCCGTCGCCAGCATTTGTGACAGATGTTCGGCGGTACTTTGAAGGCGTTGCAGCCCTTTCAGTTCTTATCGTGGGGTTCGAAGACGAGGATTATGGGTGAGAGAGAATCACGATTTTCCCGAAAAGGGTTCTTCTGAGGAAGGTTCTATACCTTCAGAGATCTTGCTTTGACAAAAACCCAATGAAATTCTGCAAGAGAGAGAAAGAGACGGAGCATCTACAATAGCGTTGACAATATGTAAGAGTGATGGTGTGCATACTGCTTGAAAAAATTAATCAAGAAGATAAAAAAAATAAAATCCAAAAATACCCATAGTAGTGGCTCAGAAACACTGTGCTGACCTTGTGAAGTAAAAACACTAGCCACATTGGGTTTCAAGCAGGCTAGTATGAAAGCCGTATCAGATGACACTGCGATACTGAAGAAATCTGAACACGTCGTGCTTGATTGAAAATGGAACTGATCAACGCGTAATGCTTCACACTCTCCTTGCAAAGCGTTCGACAATTTCATGGTGTCTTTTGACTATGTGCGCAGAAATCCTTGCCACTCAAAACTCAAAACGCAGGACCGAGCAATCTGTAATCGACACGTAGAATAGAATCAGCGAATCAATGAAAATGAAGATTTTTCAGGGGGTGCGGAGCTTTTCCGAAACGGTTTTTTGCATGGTATAGAGGTAGTGCAGGAACCACGAAATTATGATTCATTGGTTGCTGGCGCCTCCCTAAATACCAAAACGATCCAAGAAACTTCCCTCAACTGTTGCTTGCACAGCTTCATCGTGGCATACCTAGCCCACGTTTTTTACTGAAAGGTGAAACTCCAGTTCGGGGGGGGGCACTCCATTTTTTCTCCAATACTCAAGATAAGGATTAGAGGGCTCACGACACGTAATCGACTCATTTAAAGTAGACTTCTGATAAATATTGGTGTAATGGGTGAGAAACCCTGAAACGTTTTCACCTGTGCAGAAAAGTGGATGGGATGTGGGCAGGTAGTGTGGAATGTAGGACATCCACCGGTCCTTATCAAAAGTACGCTCGAAATGAGTCGTTCACTTATTATCTTATCCGTAGTGTTCGATAGCCCAAAGAACTGCTCTCTAGTACTACGGATAAGATAGCAATGGAGTGCCCCCCCGAACTGGAGTTTCACCTACTAAAATTCTTGTCAAACGTTCTATTTGGCCGTATACCGAAAACAGACCGAAGTTCAGACAAAATTAAGCATTCGTTCGACCTTTACGTTAAGAAAGGTGTGGCGGTTTCGTGAGCGTTATCGGTAGGAAAGTTTTACGACAGTACAGTGGATAGCGTTCTGCACTCTCATAGGTATGATGAGGACGGTGCTTTGCATATGTGGCTGATGCCTCATGAACAGTGCCGAATTACACTATGGTCATAATAGATCACATACATAAACATCGTATAAAGATGAGTTTTCTCTGTTACCTAGCTTTTTGTGTCGCAGACATGGTGTCGGCGTAGTAGAAGAGCGCCCTAATCGTGATCAAGGCACCAATTTAGCGATATTGGGTGGAAAATGAGGGTTGCGTCCTAGCGATTAGTACTGAAACTGAAGCTTCCTCCCGTAGGACACGTCTAACAACATATTTCGTTTTTTGAAGCCGACCTAACAATCGACGAAGACCTATCCAGTTGAAGAGCCGACAACTCAACCTGCAGTATTGACGAGAAGGAGGATCTACCGCCTCTGTCGTGCGTGACGACTCGGCCATTGCCAGCTTGGTGCCTATCATTGTCCATTATGGATCGAATTTACATTTTTGGAGTAAAGAAAAGGAGATCGCTTCTCCTTCCAAAACTCTTCCTATCGACGTTCAGGGCTGAGAGCCTACTGATTTACCGTGCTTTGGTTTTCCATTTTTTTCTTTTTTCCCCTTGGTCGAAATTCTTGTCTTCTCTGAATTTTGTCTAATGGTTACCTAGCGCCCTGGAGGAAATCATGATAAGCACTTAGGCGCGGCATCAAGCGTCACAATAACGTTATTCGGCAACATTTTGGTGTTGTAACTTGCATCACAAGACCAGATCTCGAGTCATTTTGGAGCGCCAACTCAAAAAATCCGTTTTTTGGTGAGAGAAGTTCAAGAGGAAGGAGCTTAAGGAAAAATTAGCCACGGCTCTGTGTTTCACACACACGTGTGTGCCTCGATATCTTGCCAAAGATCATTTTCGTAAAGCTTGGCTACCCTTGAAAGCCCTTTTCGGGAAGAATCAAACCGATTCTGCCACCGCCAACCTCTTTTCCCTACCACGTGGAAATGAGGATAAGAAATCGATGTCAAGTTTGGTATTTTATTTTTTATATGTTATAAAAAGGGGGACACGACACGACAAGTCGAAAGTAGATGAAGGGGAACCTACCTAATGGAAGGGCAAACGGAACTTCTGAGGGTGCGGAACGACACAGAACTTCCCGCAAAGTATATTCCCCGGCATTCTAGCATGTCCCTCCCACGGGACTATCCACGCGGTAGACCCAACTGCAGGCTAATCACTCGGCGCAGGTTCCTCGCCATTGAACAGAGAGAGCGTTAGCATTGAAGAGGGCAAACCAATAAGAGCCATTACTGCGTAAATCAACGGGCAAGAAAGGGGTCATTCCTCGGGTTCTGGAGTGTTTCTTATGCTTAGTTTTTCATCCCGCATCACTAATTACGTCTACATTTCTAATTGGCTGCCTTCCAATAATAATCTCCGCTTTTAAGGTGACTTTCTGCTTTGCTAGCGACGAGGTATCCGAAGTGAAACTATCAGTTGCGGGAAAATTTAGCTACAAGATGAATTCGGAATGCGTGAGCGGTCATTTAAATATATTCAATTGGAAAGTGATGCTGACAATTCTCTACATGACAATTCCAATAACTCCCGTCTACACCGCCATTCTCATTGTTAGAAAATTGACTATAACAAGACTACGTGCAGAGAGGATCATGTCAGAAAACCGAAAGCAGCTTCACGCGCAGCTTCTCAAAGTGAGTCTTTACTCTTTTCTTGAATCGAATGCTGTAAAGGTCATTTGTCGCGCGTTCTGCTTCAGCACGACTGAAGAGGAGCCCATCTACCCATCTCAAAAACTTTAAAACTATACTACTACACGATCTTTTGGGAATGCTTGTTGTTGTTTCCTCGAAACATCCTTTTACCTACCACAAATAACCAAATGACTCCAACAGGTCGGTGTGAAATTCAAGCCGTAACGCTATCGCCTTCGGTTTTTGGAGTAGTCATGCACTGATCGCCGGGACTGAAACGCGCACTCTACTTTGATCGTGCCTAATATATAAATTTATTATACATGGTCTCCAACCCCATTTCATGTTCACTGCGGTTGAGCATGAATAGTGTCACTTCAGAATTTATGTATAAACAATATAAAAGAAATAAAGAAATGAATCATCTTGAATAGATAACTCAAGATCTACGTATACAAAGCTATCGAATTTCCGGCTTTTGACTGGGACCCTTTTTCTTGTCGAGATGGATGACCTGACCTTTTTCGGCAGCAGACAAACGGTCGATTACGAAATACCAACCGCTCATGAATGCGCTAAACGTAGTTAGGATATTTGATGCTGCCAGCAAATTGCAGTAAAATCAGTTGCGTTGGTTGATTGGGCAAGGGAGCTCGGTTCTCAGAATGAGTCTAACCAAGAATGAGGCAACTTTTTTCACAACACTTCTAGAAAGAGAACGATAGGCAGGTGAAACTTATGTCGAAGACACGCAGCTGTAGCGTGCAGCTCGGTTTATCCCTGGGACAGCTTATCTGAGACCACGCTCCAAACCTTGCAAGTTTTCACTCTCTCTATGTGAAAGGTTTCCATACTTGCAACCTTTTGAACAGGTTGTGGTAGGCTCAGGTAGAGCTAAGTTCCCTGTCATCAAGCAGCATTGAAATTGCGCTTTGAAAGCTCTTCATTCGGAGAGACAGTGTCTCTCGAACTGAGTCGAGGAAGTGTCGAAGACGGAATTCTTGAGTTTATTAAAAGACAATATTTCTCGAATTCCGTGTTCACTTCAAAAAAGGAAGGCAGTTCCGAAAAAATGGAGTTACGTCAAGTAGCCTTCTCTGCAAACTTCCTAGTTGATGAAGTATTTGCGTATGCGGAGAATTGGAATATTAGTAATAGTATTTAGATCTATCGAGAATGATCTTTAGCCACCCAGAAGTTCGCTTGCGTCTGCACATTGCATGCTAATTCGTTGGTAGCTGTTGAGGAAACTCCCAGAAAAGCTTCATGATTTACGTCTTTCACAAGGTCAAATTTTTGCCAATGAAAATATTGATTCATATAAAAAAGTTATTCATTGCGGATTTCTGTTTCCACTATGACAGTAGAAGAAAGCAATACCATTCAATTTTGCAATTTCGCTGGCTGGCGTGGTTAGTGTAATTTTGAAAAAAATGATGCTCAAATATGTCATGTAAGGTCATGTAAGGATCAATGAAACCTTTTCACATATAGATGTAGCCTTCTGTATAGGGTTCAAAGTTGTGCTGCGACAAATGGAGCTGCTTATCACGCGCGCAATCGCAGATCTCGTAAGCATAGGGCGGTGTCAGACCTTGGCAATCGCGCGATTCGCTTGTTGGCGCATATTCCGACAACGTATATGTGGAAATGTAATGCACACGGAAAAGCAGCATGAACAGAGCCCTATCCGAAGCAATAAATGGATTTGGTTGGTGCAAAAATAACGAAAATGCGAATGCTCACAGCTTTTGAATGGTTTTGGGTTTTATTCTTTTGACTTCGAATGGTTGGCTTCAGACTGCTCTAAAATCAAGGCAAAGCCTTTATATTCAGCACAACACTTTTTGCAGTGAATCGAAGAAACGCCCGAAAGACTTGTTCACATTTGCGCGATTGCGCTGAGAAGAACTGTGTAGGATTGACTACATTTTTTGCGAATGAACACGCGTAAGCACCACCATAAACAATCCTGCACAATTGGGATGAACTTGTGTTTGAAATTCAACCAGATTCGATGTGCTCATGACCTGCTCCTCCGCCACACATGCACCTTTCGGTATCACCAACACCATCTACTTTATTGGAGGTTCGCGGAACGATTCGAATATTTTCGCTGAAGGGAACGTTAAGTACAAAGTGTGATACTGCAACTGATTATGGGTACTCATCTTCGCCTGCAACAGAGCATTCTGAAAGTACGGTACAATTAGCAAAGGCATTTGTTTGAATATTTTTGTATGGCGGCTTTCTCAATGTACACAACTAGAGGCAGGACAATGGGAATCTTTTCTGAGGCGCTGTGCACCAAGTGGCCTCACTACTAAAAGTAGTAAGGATAGTGAGTGTGAGAGAACGGATTCAAAACGATAGAGCATCTGATAGAGGCTCTGATACGAATACTGCAACGGCCGCACTGATGCATGGAACGCATTTAGAGGTTCTGAGCTTCTAGCGCTTTTGAGTTGTATTTGAGTCGCAAAAGTTTCACTACTTCTAGTTGCGGACCAGTGATCTCATTTGCTCGGAGGGGTTGCTCAGTGCCATTCATTGCGAATAATCTTGAATTATGTGGTGCTCACTGTCTCCTGCAATCCATCATTCTTAACGTATGCTACAGTTGGCTATTCCGACCTATCAGAGCTTCTTGTTTTGATCACTTTGTTTGTAGCTTTCTCGATAAACAAAACTAGAGGCAGAGCGCGTTACCATGCACGCATCAGAACGGCTGTAATCGAGTTTTAGGAAATTCAGCTTCTCGTCAATCCGAGGACATGTTGTTTGTTTGATGCCAGGCTCGTCTGGAATGATAGAAACAGTGACTACATCGATGAAAATCCCCTTCTCACCGCAAACTGCATTCAAATGCGACTATTATTCTGGATGGAGCGGGAAGTGTCGAAGGAGAATACTTGACACCAGCCTGGCTATACCTCGAGCTTCCCGAGGTCTAACTGCTTGTGAGACAAGATAAGCACTGGGTGTATCTAAATACTTCAATTTCGTTGGCATCAGAAGTTATTCAACGTTGAGCAAGTTGGATTTTTAGCGAGTAGTCAGGATAATATTCACAAGTAATGGCCGATAGCAACATAAATGCATAAATATTCCATATGCATGAAAATTCCATGTGCAAAGCTTATTTGGCCGCTAGACTACATCAGTTTCAAAAATTGATTATGGATGTTCATGGGTACATGACGATCTGCGGAGAATGACGGCTCTATCGCTATGACCATAGTACCCTTTCATGAACAAGGTCAGTGAGTCCGAATGAAAGCAGCATGCTCTTCATAGAGAGACCGGCTATGTCCTATTCCACTGAAGTCTACTTCAGCACGCCCAGGTTAGTTAGCGGAGCTAAATTGGTATAGAAGCTATTATAGAGAAATAAATTGTCAGCAAAGATGGCGATAATGCCAGCATAGCTGTGCAGGCAACAAAATATGACCACATTTAATCATTCCAAGCCTTTTGTTGCACGTCGAGTGAACTATGCAATGTGCATGATAAACGGTTATCCCATTTTAGGCGCTCACTATACAGGCATGTTTGCCAATATTCTTCTTGGTTCCTGTTATCACCTATGCGATTGGTCAGTTTGGCATCTATAATCATCCTGTTCTTGAGTATTCTACCTTTCCACTGGGCAACTTCATACCAGCGATGAGTCCAGTTACTTCAATCTATTTTGTACGACCTTATCGTATATGGATAAGAGATAAGTTATTCTGTCGGCGTCAAGTAGCATCACCCTCAATTTCACCGTCACGAATAGCTACGATGCGTGGTAGCATAGAAGCCAGCAAAACAAACTTCTGAGTATTCTTGTTCGAAGACTAGTTTTGAATCATCTGAGGATAACATTCACATTGTGTTCTCTTCAATTTGTGTAGCACAATGACATTATCGATATGTATTTGTTTCTGTTTGAATTGTAATGTCAGTGCTGATATTGTTGATATTGATTTTTGACAAGTATGTTGGACCAGAACGGTTTTGGAATCTAATTTCCCTTAGCATGAAATTAAAATTGGCCGCAGAACCATTCTTGTGCATGATTTGTTTGATTGGATTGGCCTTTTGCCGCCGTTAAGGACACCATAGAGCACTTTTCACAGCTTCGGTGAGAACCCAGTCGGTTCATAATTGGTTTTCTTTAATTGTAGTTTTACAGGATTGCGCGGATGCACGCAGAGTCAACCCTGCGTTGCGCAGTTCTCAACGGCCACGTTGCGCAGTTTCGCCCGATTAGACACGTTCTCTCGCGCGAACATTCACACTCGCATGCTCGAGCCGTCTGTGTCTCCGCCCATACAGCGTGCGTTGAGGATCTCTCAACGTGCCGTTGCGAACTGCGCAACGCAGGGTTGACTCTGGATACACGAGTCCACATCCTTTCGCTACAGGTCATATCTTTGAGACTTCGTCTGGTTTAATGTCTCTGTTGGGCATTTTTAGGAAGTGCTAGGAGAATGAAGACGTGAGATGGAAGTGGTGATTCGAATTTATTCGTGTTTTACTTTTTCTCTCGGACCTAATTCACTTTTTCGATCGTTGCGCCACGAATGCCGTTTTTCACACTGGCCGCTCCCTTCTTTATTGCTGACCTGAGAACAACGCAAATTTTAACATAGCAGTATTATCGCATCACAAAAAGCAAGCATTTTCTACATGACCATCTGTGAGCCACCTTTGACTGAGAAAGAGCAATACTTCGTATCAGCTTGGTGGAACATTAACGTTACATAGATTTATCGTTGCCATCTGGGGTGCTCTGGAATCTCCAGAAGTAGGAGTGACTACACATTGATCATAGAATCTAAACTTTCTTTCGCACAATGACTATTTGAAATTTCCGAGTGTCCAGGAGATGTGCATATTCCACGACACCTTGAGCACACTGTCGCAGACAAAAAGCGACACTACAAAACATGCACGGCAGGAAATAGAGACAAAGATTAAATTTGCTTCAGACTGCCAGGGGAATCCGGAGTTCCGAACTACGCCAACGATCGAAGATCAGGGACGCTGCCGTTTTCGCCAAGGAATCGAAGATAAGGTGGGCCGGACACGTCATGCGATTTTGCGATGACCGTTGGACCAGAGCGGTTACCGACTGGACCGACTGGATCCCTCGGGACGTCAAACGAACACCTGGACGACCGCCGGCCCGATGGTCAGACTTCTTCACGAAAGCTCTGAACGAAAGGAATGAAGGACTTCGTGTCCCTCGAGCGAGGAGGGTCCACTGGACACTCTTGCACGCGACAGGGACGAATGGAGACGTTGCTGGCGCCCGCTCGAGCAAATCGATGATCAACGGGACGACAGGTGATACAGGTGATACATGACTGCCAACTGCATGTTACGAAAAAACCATCCAGTAGCGAGGCTAACCAGAAGACGTTTGACCAAACCGCTTCTCCCGCTCCATCTAATTACTCTTTGTCTGATCGTGAGTAAAAATAGCACCTTGGAAACAGTATATGGTGGTAGCATTGCAAAAAATTCCCAACATAGTAATCCGAATTCGCTAGAGCAAAATTGTTTCGGTTCAGAAGAAGAACGTAGAGTTTTTTGCTCAAGAACGGGCGATGCCTGATCCCATAAGGTAGGATCTCCTATTTGAACGCCATATGAATTTTCAAGTGGATTCAGTAAAAAATTGACTGTTCGAGACATCTCTACTTTACCAAGGTGTAGCGGCCTGGTTAAAAATGCGAAGGCCGCCTCCCAGGCCACGAGTGACCGATAGCTGGTTGACCGCAAGTTCCTTCCAAGCTTTCTCCGCACAACCTCAGATGAATCAAACTATAGTTTGTATCGGCAAATTTTTCGCTTCAAGGAACTCTGGATGGCAAAGTCTAGAAGGTTCACCAGACGAGTTCAATAACCAGATCTTTAGCGACCATTATGCCCCAAAATAAGCTGTCACAAAATCGTGGGGTTGGTATTGCGGCAATCGCCGGCACCATTCCCTGCCCAGTGGTGTAAAAATTTGCTAGTATTGTAACCTGCCCAGGGTAAAACCAGAGACACATTAGACAGGACGTTTCTCTTGTAGAAGTCGATTTGATTTTTTCAGGAAGTAATTCTTTCCCAAATTATGGTATTAGGCTGAAAGGAAAAATTTGAAACTCTTAGTTCATGCTGTTCCTTGCTTTTTCCCCAAAACTCTTGGTTCCATGGTTATAGAAGGGAGCGGACTGTGCTGCTAAGGTGTTCCAAACGTTCTTCCAGCAGAACAGCAGCGGAGCACAAAATCGGCATCTTCCGTGAGACCGTCCGAGCGCTTATTTTGCGAAAAACTTCGACCTAGAAAAAGTCCACGAGAAGCGTGTAGAATCAGTCCCGTCGTAGACTGGGATGTGATCTCCTACGGCAGACTCAAGCGTGCGTTGAGGAATCTTAGACAGGTTGGCAGGGGGTCGTGTTTGAAAGTTTTTGCACACCATAATGCCCTTTTTATTTGCATGCGTCCTCTGAATTGGAAACGCTCTTGTTTCCCATGGCTGCGGCGGTTTGAGAATAGAGTTTCCAAAACTTACCAACTGCAGTTGAATTCTGGAACATTCAGGAGTGTCCTTGCTTCTCTTGTCATCTGGTAAATTGTGAGGGTTGTTTTTCGTAAGGGTGTTATGTGATAATGTTCAATCATCGTAAAAACCCAGCCTCTGGATCCGGCCTCCTGGCTCTACTGGGAATCCTCACATGATGATTGTGACGTTTGAAATGCCTCAGATCAGTCCCGTCGTAGACTGGGATGTGATCTCCTACGGCAGACTCAAGCGTGCGTTGAGGAATCTTAGACAGGTTGGCAGGGGGTCGTGTTTGAAAGTTTTTGCACACCATAATGCCCTTTTTATTTGCATGCGTCCTCTGAATTGGAAACGCTCTTGTTTCCCATGGCTGCGGCGGTTTGAGAATAGAGTTTCCAAAACTTACCAACTGCAGTTGAATTCTGGAACATTCAGGAGTGTCCTTGCTTCTCTTGTCATCTGGTAAATTGTGAGGGTTGTTTTTCGTAAGGGTGTTATGTGATAATGTTCAATCATCGTAAAAACCCAGCCTCTGGATCCGGCCTCTCAATCAAGATTCTGGGTTTAGTTAAGGATGCCATCGGACAAAGTCAGGCTAGAGCGGGCCACCTGCTCTACTGGTGAACCTTCACTGATGATTGTGAGTTTGAATGCCTCAGAGCCGATTCAGCCAATCACTTTAGCAATTCCTTAGTTGTAATCCAACTTCGCGTTGAGGCAAATGTTATCTGTGAGAACGAAGCAGTTGTTTTAGAATGGAGAGAAGCATTCTGAGCGATTTTGCATACAGTAAAGCCTTTTTCGTCCACACCGTTGATAGCTGCTTGAGCTGCAACAGGTCCCTTTATTTACGAGGAGCACAACCTGTCGAATACATCAGTTTTGGTCCATTTGAATCGTTATTTTGCAACTTCTTGTAAATCAACGAGAATCATGTTCACCGGTATGATCCTGGGTCTTGATAGAGCAAGGGCAATGTTGACCGACGATATGTAATTCTACAGCAATTTTGTATGTTTTCTGGTTGTATGGAAGCAAAACAGGCGCGAATCTGAAAATATATTACAGTACTTCCTTACTTTACTAATTTTACTATTTTTACTACTCTGTCAAATTTGTTTTTGGTTTGGGCCAATTCACCATTCCCCAAGGATTTGTGGAGTAGTCCCCCTCATCCTTTCTGAGTACAGAGGCTGAACACGGTTGGCCGCACTTCAAGTCTTACTCGTAATGACGTAAACTCTCCCTGAACGTAACTATTTACGCTCATATGGGCAAAAAGTGCTTCGTTCAAAGTTCTCTTCATTGTAAAAATTGCGCACATTTCGGAGGACAGATGATCTGTGATGCGAATTTTCAGTTCGAAAATGAAAAACATCAAACATCAAATATCCTACTATATATAATCGGCTAAGCGGTTGTGTGTGTGTCTGACCGGAAATTCATAACTTCACCCCCTTTGGACCCAGAGCGCTCAAACTTCTAGGATATATAGGGGGCCGGAGGTGAACACTGATGACGGGTGGCGGGAAGTGATAACTACTGATAGGAGCTGATAACGGACGTCGAAATGTTGATGTCACCAATTTCGTTACACCGTTCGCGTTGACAGTGGAGAGTTTGCACTCATGTATGATATGTGGGGTGAGGCGGGGACCAAGAAGTTGAGTGAACGAATGTGGTAGCAACTGATAAGAACTGATAAGGGGCGTCAAAGTGTGGATACCACCAGTTTCGTTGCGGCCCTTGCGGTTACATTGGAACCTTGGCTCTCACATGTGGTATAGGGGATGGGACGGGAACACGGATAGTGGATGATCAAAAGTGATAACAAGCGATAACGGTTGATAAGGAAGTTAGGATTTTGAGTACTGCTAATTTCGTTGCAGCCTTCGTGGTGACAGTAAATATTAGCTCCTACACGTTGCCTGGAGGTTGGGACCGGGACACCGATTGCGAACAGTATGAACTGATAACAAATGACAAGGAATGATAAGAGCGTTTGAATGCAGGTCTCTCCAACTTCGTTGCAATTATCACTGGCAAGCGATCAAGGTGGCGAGGGTTGAATGTAGGTGACAGAAAGTGGTATGAGCGGCAACTGTACTGATAAAAGTAGCGACAGTTGAGCGTGCACTCAGTTGAACTAAACCAGGTCCCTAGCACGTGAATATGTTCCATTCCTACCCTTTCATCTAAAGAAGCAAAGAAAGTTGAGCTGCTCAACTATCTGGACTTGGACCAATAGCGAATTTCCATCATATTTCCAATTTCCATCAT